TTTGAAGAAAACTGCTCAGACAAGGTGTTTTGTCTTTGCACATAAAAAAAAAATCCACAAAAATGCACACACACTGGTTTTATGTGTGAGGAGTATAAAGCACCATTGTGTATGAAAACATGTTTCAAAAAGTTCCACAAGCTGCAGAACTTCTAGGAATATGTTCGGTGACTGTCCATTGGTATATATATTATAGAACAATGGTAATAAAAAATTTTTTGTATTGTTTGTTTTTGTAAACAAGTTTTGTAAACAATATATTGCAATGTACATATATACAACGAGTGTATATATGTACGTTGCACCTTACTTTGGTCTCACAGGCCACGTAAGTTATGTGAAAAAATAAAATAGTGAAAAAACAACAAACCTTCAAATACAAGTAAACCAAAGTTTACCGGGTGAGCAGCAGTCGCCGCTGTTGCCATACGCGGCTCATTTTCTGCAGACTTCACTCCTCTATATCTCGGTAAGTACTGACGGAAAATTTTTGTCTTTTTGGGACTAAAACACTCAGAAAAATAATCTTAACATTTTCATAAGAAAAAAATATTTTTTTTTTTCGAATATTTTGTGACACAGAATGACAGTTTCAGAAAGGGGCTTGCGACAGTCTCCAGACCCCTCTTATTTTACACTTGATTTCCATTTTGAATTTTTATTCGCACAAAAAATAGAAGATTTATTGTTATGCAGACTACTGCATTATTGTAATAATTGTATAAATAATGTCAACCCATTTGTGGCTGTGTATTAGACTGGTCAGTTGAACACGTATTGGGAGGTAACTTTGTTTGTTTACTCTTGAACATCGGTAAAAATCGAACAGTTCTGCTAATCTGAGCCCAATTTTAACCCTTTCAGGGTCCGTTCCATAGATCTATGGCTTTACGTTCAGGGTCCAAACCGTAGATCTACTTCATGAGCTCAGCTCACTCTGATAAACTGTGAGTGGTACACTTGGGCCTATATATGACAGAATTCATCTATGTGGTATGTGTGCACCACATAAAACAAATCCTGCAGCACACTGTGTATAATGAGAGAAAAAAAACTGAAACAAAGATTTTCGATTAAAACAGCAACTTTGCAGTGTTTTTTTGTAAGTTTTTTATAGGTGTATTTGCAATTTCTTGGTCTCATTTGATAGAATGGAAGACATATTACAGAAATAGAGATGATTTTGATTGGTTTTAGCACTGGAAATGGCTTGAAACCGAGCTCAAAGTAGCGGAAATGTTAAATTCTTGCCGATGTTCAAGAGTAAACAAACGACCTCACACGTCGAATACACGCCAGCTGGTGGGTCTAATATACATTCACAAATGTGGTGATATTATTTATACAATTATTACAATATTGCATAACAGTAAATCTTCTATTTTTTGGTGTGAATAATAATTCATTATGTGAATAAAAAATCAAAATGCGATTTATTTGTAAAGCCTCAAAACATAACTAATGAACAGAGGAAATGTTAGTTTAGTGCCAAGAATGCCTACATTGTTTATTCTGGACGCTATTTTGAAATTGGAGTATTTTGAACTTTGTGTTAAATTGGCCAAATTACCAATTTCCGATCACTTTATTTTGTAGTTGAAACAGTTGACTTGGCGATTTCTTGTGCTCAATCGATAGAATAGAAGTAATACTAGTGAAATAGCTAAGAATTTGGTCGACTGGAATGATGTAATTGGCCTAAAATGGGAGTCAAAGTCGCCAAAATAGCCGATTCGTAAATATCGCTGACACATCAAAATTCGTGAGAGCATAATTTCGTCAATTTTCCATCAAATTTCGTACTTTTTGTTTTATTACCTTCACAAAAAGATTTAGATAAAGTATTTAGATAAAGGTAGGGAAGTTTTTATTGCATTTATGGATTTAGAAAAGGCATATGATAGAGTGGATAGAGGAGCAATGTGACAGATGTTGCAAGTATATGGAATAGGTGGTAAGTTACTAAATGCTGTTAAGAGTTTTTATGAGGATAGTGAGGCTCAGGTTAGGGTGTGTAGAAGAGAGGGAAAATACTTCCCGGTAAAAGTAGGTCTTAGACAGGGATGTGTAATGTCACCATGGTTGTTTAATATATTTATAGATGGGGTTGTAAAAGAAGTAAATGCTAGGGTGTTCGGGAGAGGGGTGGGGTTAAATTATGGGGAATCAAATTCAAAATGGGAATTGACACAGTTACTTTTTGTTGATGATACTGTGCTTATGGGAGATTCTAAAGAAAAATTGCAAAGGTTAGTGGATGAGTTTGAGAATATGTGTAAAGGTAGAAAGTTGAAAGTGAACATAGAAAAGAGTAAGGTGATGAGGGTATCAAATGATTTAGATAAAGAAAAATTGGATATCAAATTGGGGAGGAGGAGTATGGAAGAAGTGAACGTTTTCAGATACTTGGGAGTTGACGTGTCGGCGGATGGATTTATGAAGGATGAGGTTAATCATAGAATTGATGAGGGAAAAAAGGTGAGTGGTGCGTTGAGGTATACGTGGAGTCAAAAAACGTTATCTATGGAGGCAAAGAAGGGAATGTATGAAAGTACAGTAGTACCAACACTCTTATATGGATGTGAAGCTTGGGTGGTAAATGCAGCAGCGAGGAGATGGTTGGAGGCAGTGGAGATGTCCTGTCTAAGGGCAATGTGTGGTGTAAATATTATGCAGAAAATTCGGAGTGTGGAAATTAGGAGAAGGTGTGGAGTTAATAAAAGCATTAGTCAGAGGGCAGAAGAGTGGTTGTTGAGGTGGTTTGGTCATTTAGAGAGAATGGATCAAAGTAGAATGACATGGAAAGCATATGAATCTATAGGGGAAGGAAGGAGGGGTAGGGGTCATCCTCGAAAGGGTTGGAAAGAGTGGGTAAAGGAGGTTTTGTGGGCGAGGGGCTTGGACTTCCAGCAAGCGTGCATGAGCGTGTTAGATAGGAGTGAATGGAGACGAATGATACTTGGGACCTGACGATCTGTTGGAGTGTGAGTAGGGTAATATTTAGTGAAGGGATTCAGGGAAACCGGTTATTTTCATATAGTCGGACTTGAGTCCTGGAAATGGGAAGTACAATGCCTGCACTTTAAAGGAGGGGTTTGGGATATTGGCAGTTTGGAGGGATATGTTGTGTATCTTTATACGTATATGCTTCTAAACTGCTGTAAGATTTAAGATAAGATAAGATTTCGTTCGGATTTTTAACCCCGGAGGGTTAGCCACCCAGGATAACCCAAGAAAGTCAGTGCGTCATCGAGGACTGTCTAACTTATTTCCATTGGGGTCCTCAATCTTGTCCCCCAGGATACGACCCACACCAGTCGACTAACACCCAGGTACCTATTTGCTGCTAGGTGAACAGGACAATAGGTGTAAGGAAACGTGTCGAAATGTTTCCACCCCCCGGGAATCGAACCCGGGCCCTCCGTGTGTGAAGCGGGAGCTTTAGCCACCAGGCCACCGGGCCACCCACCAGGTCACCGAGCACCTCTGCAAAAACAGTGATAATGTGTGAGTGTGGTGAAAGTGTTGAATGATGATGAAAGTATTTTCTTTTTGGGGATTTTCTTTCTTTTTTGGGTCACCCTGCCTCGGTGGGAGACGGCTGACTTGTTGAGAAAAAAAAAAAAAAAAAGATTCTCTACCATTTCATAAGAAAAAATAACAAATTTTTTTTTGGAAAATTCTTGGACACTGGGGCACCACTTCAGATTTTGGCCTTGGACCCTGAAGGGGTTAAGGTACTTTCCGGTGTGAAACCAATCAAAATTCTATCTATTTCTGTAAAATATCTTCTATTCTATCAAATGATGCCAAAAAAGGAGAATACAATCATACAAACCATATGAAAATACACTGCAAAGTCAGGTTTACACCATAAACACGGTCACAGTTTTTTCTCATTATGTAATGTGTGCTGTAGGATTTTTTTTTATACAGTGCACGCTTACGACACAGACTTATTCTCTCATACGCTGGCCCAAATTTACCAGTCATAGCTTATCTGAGTGAGCTGAGCTCATGGCGACTGACAGTGGCTTCAAAGCCACCTCATCTTTTATGGACAATGTATGGTGTATGTGCTTTACATAATGAGAAGCATTTTCTTTATTTGTTGGAACCATGGCTAGAGCTAAAAGTAAGCAGGTTATAACAATAAATGGAGAAAAAGAAATTGGAATGACTCGTGCAGCAAGTAGCGCCACCAAACAGTAGCGACAGGTTGGTGTGGCAATGCCGGAAATTTAAGTTATGTTAACCGAAATTAGTGCCGGATTACTGATTGCAGATTAGTGATGGCCAACCTGTAGTATGTGACTGAACATGTTCACCTGTCAGTGACTGATTACTTTTTCCATACCTAATACTTATGTCAGTGCAAAGATTAACTATAAAATCACAAAATCTACTATAATTTGTAATTATCAGAACATAAAAAAATATGTAGATTAAAAAACAAGAAAAAATGTTATATCGGCAACATTTCTGTAAGCGACAGTACTCCATGTTGCCATCACGTGAGCATCTGGTGCCAACTTCACGACCTTATATCTCAAAAACTACTGACCTTAAAAAAAATATTGTCTTAGTATACACAGAAAATTACCCTTTTAATATTTTTTTTCTTTTCAAAATACTATTCAGAGTGCTAGCAAAGATGTAGAGATCAACACCATGACAGTTAAAGGGTTAAAAGCTATCTTAATTTTTTTAAGTATTACTATACTATCAATTATGTTACCTACTACAAATATCAAGTTTGCTCTCACTGTCAGGTTATCTTAGCTACTGCCCACACTTAGTTCACATGAATTTTATAATAAAGCCCCTTCAAGGGGAGGAATGCCTTGATACTAATGAAGGACTCTTAATCTGAAGAATTATAAGAACTCTACCTTGCCTCAGATCAAACCTGACTAGCTCTTAGTCGCTGTATGATTTTTCATGTTTAACACTGTGACAAAAAATGTCTTAAGTACATCTGTAATATGCATCTTAGTCACCTGTAACTATATATCCAGTCAGGCGAGTCTCCACCCAGAGAGAAAAAGGCAGCAATCTCCATCTTCCCTGACTCTGACTTCCTGAAGATTCTGATGGTGCGCCCACGTGGATCCTTCAGCAGTGAACTATACATGGTCACTAACAGCTCCTCTCCCACTGCCACAGACCTGAGAGGTCATGATATGGTAAGAAAACATTAAGATCATATAAGTAAGCAATGGATGATTATGGAAGATACAGTACATCACTGAAATCAAACTTCACAGCCAGAGTTGTAGCACAGCACTTGTGACTTGTATAACTTACTTCATAGGAGGAGTTGGGTAATACTTCATGATAAGAATCAGAGTAATCAATTAACTTTATTGCAAATGCTTATGCACTGCTACCTTGACTTCAAAACTTCAGTACCCATAAATGTATGTTGCAATTCTACTATGTTTAAGTATTACAGTAGTACTTTATTTAGTTTATAAAACAGAAACAATCTCCTTCATCAACCTTCAAGATTATTTACTACATCCCCAACAAATGCTACTTGGTCTGTGTTACACACAAAACTACTGTTCATATTAAAGCCAGTCATAGCATGAACCAGATCAAGAAGAAAGCCAAAAGGTGCCTAATGAATGTAGTGACAGAAAGAGAGGAGAATGATTTTTTATTTTTTATTTTTTAGCTAACACACATGTAAATATAAATACAGTAGGGCCCCACTTTACGGCATTTTGCCTTACAGCGTTCCGCTAATATGGCGATTTCAAATTATGACCAAAATTTGCTATACAGCAAGTGGTCTTTCAAATATGGTGTGGCCCACCTGGTTTGTTTACATTCTTTGTGAGCACATCTATTAACCCTTTCAGGGTCTGTCCCATAGATCTACGGCTTTACGGTGAGTGTCCAAACCGTAGATCTATGCCATGAGCTCAGCTCACTCTGATAAACTGTGAGTGGTACATTTGGGCCTAGATATGAGAGAATACATCTATGTGGTATGTGTGCACCACATAAAACAGATCCTGCAGCACACTGTGTATAATGAGAGAAAAAAACTGAAATCATGATTTTTCGATTAAAACAGCAACTTTGCAGTGTTTTTTCGTATGTTTTTTATAGTTGTATTTGCGATTTCTTGGTCTCATTTGATAGAATGGAAGACATATTACAGAAATAGAGATGATTTTGATTGGTTTTAGCACTGGAAATGGCTTGAAACTGAGCTCAAAGTAGCGGAAATGTTAAATTTTTGCCGATATTCAAGAGTAAACAAACGACCTCACACGTCTAATACACGTCAGCTGGTGGTCTAATATACATTCACAAATATGGTGATGATATTATACAATTATTACAGTATTGCATAACAGTAAATCTTCTATTGTTTGGTGTGAATAAAAATTCATTATGTGAATAAAAAATCAAAATGGAATTTATTTGTAAAGCCTCAAAAACATAACTAATGAACAGAGGAAATGTTAGTTTAGTGCCAGGAATGCCTACATTGTTTATTCTGGACCCTATTTTGAAATTGGAATATTTTGAACTTTGTGTTAAATTGGCCAAATTAACAATTTCCGATCACTTTATTTTGTAGTTGAAACAGTTGACTTGGCGATTTCTTGTGCTCAATCGATAGAATATAAGTAATACTAGTGAAATAGCTAAGAATTTGGTTGATTGGAATAATGTAATTGGCCTAAAATGGGAGTCAAAGTCGGCAAAATCGCCGATTCATAAATATTGCTGACACATCAAAATTCGCGAGAGCATAATTTCGTCAATTTTCCACCAAATTTTGTACTTTTTGTTTTATTACCTTCACAAAAAGATTCTCTACGATTTCATAAGAAAAAATAACAAATTTTTTTTTTTTAAATTCTTGGACACTGGTGCGTGACTCCAGATTTGGGCCTTGGACCCTGAAAGGGTTAATGTCTGGAAACTTTCCAAAATTTCAAGTGTTTTAAAGTTATTGCATATTTTATATCTACTCTGATAATTATGATTATGTGTACCTGTACCTAAATATACTTACACACTGTGCTGGCATGTAGGTACACATTAAAATCACTAAGAGTCTCTCTACTCATGATGCCATAGTAATATTATAAAGTAATAATCTCTCTTGGGCATATTAATAAAGACATTTTCATTAATCCATTTATGATATTTTCTTCAAAATTATATAAGAAACACGTTACATAGCATATAAACATTATATATACACCTACAGAATAAAAATTGACATAAATATGAGATTTGTTTACAAAGCGGCTCTGTAGGAGTGTCAGAAGAATTACGTTTTCTCTAGTAAAACACTGAGGATAACCGTAGATAAATATTCCTTTTGTATGCCTTCACTCTATATATAGCAATTCACGACCCTTGTGGGTTTAGTGCTTCTTTTTCATTATGATTATAATAATAATAACTTGCAATAATAATTTGTAATAATAAATTGTAATAATAATTTGTAATAATTTATTTATTTATTTATTTAAAAATTTGAGCACACATACAGAGGTACAAAAAATACAGATAAGAGCAGCATGCCAAAGCCACTTATACTATGCATAGCATTACGGGCTGGCTTAAAATTAACTTAAGATTAACTAAGCAATGATGAAATCAGTGATAAAACTTTAATGTAAACAGATTACTATAAAGCACAAGTGAGTATTACAAAGACAGGTCATATGGTTGTATGCATTGTTGTACATTCAGTAGAATGGAGTATTCTGTTAGGTAGTGTATTTAAAAAATAATAAAGTTAGATTGGATTTTAGGTTTAACATTTATGTGATATAATTGTGAGAAACATTTAAGATATACAATTTATAATGTTCAGTTATTCAGTATTTATTTGGTTTTGGGTGAGTAAGTGATCTTTGAGAAGAGACTTGAATTTATAAACAGGTAGTGTTTCTTTTATATTTACAGGTAATGAATTCCAGATTTTAGGGCCTTTTATGTGCATTGAGTTTTTGCATAGTGTGAGATGGACACGAGGAACATCAAAGAGTGATCTGTGCCTTGTGTTATGGTCATGTGTTCTGTTGAGGTTGGCAAGGAGTGTTTGAGGGGAGGGTTAATATCGAGTTAAGTGTTCTATGTATGTAATAGGTGCAGTAATAAGTATGGATGTTTTGTATGGTGAGTAGGTTTAGTGTATTGAATATTGGTGGAGTGTGCTGCCTATAGTGAGAATTTGTTATCATTCTAACTGCAGCTTTTGTTGGGTAATTAGTGGTCTGAGATGGTTACTTGTTGTTGAGCCCCATGCACAAATTCCATAGGTGAGATAGGGGTAAATAAGAGAGTGATATAGGGCCAGGAGGGCTGACTGTGGAGCATAGTACCGTATCTTCGATAGTATGCCTACAGTCTTGGAAATTTTCTTAGAAATTTGTTGTATATGTGTATGAAATTTGAGTCTATTATCAAGGTGGATTCCTAAGAATTTTCCCTCTGTTAGCTTTGTGATAGGTGATCCGTTTATCATTATGTTAAGAGGGACATCTGTAGCTCTGTTACCAAACTGAATGAAGTAGGTTTTGTCAATGTTTAGTGTAAGTTTGTTAGTCCTCATCCAGGCAGATATTTTCTGTAATTCGGTATTTACAGTATTGGCTAGCGTGACTGGGCTCGGGTGGGAGAAGAGCGTATGTAGTGTCATCTGCAAATAGTGTGGGTTTGAGTAATTGCGAAGCATTTGGTAGGTCATTTATGTATAGGAGAAAGAGAAGAGGGCCAAGGACACTTCCCTGTGGGAGACCAACTGTAATTGGTTGTGCAGAAGAGTTTGCCCCATTTGCATACACATATTGGCTTCTGTTGCTGAGGTATGACTTGAGGTAGTTGAGGGAGTGCCCTCTTATACCATAGTGTGACAATTTTACGTGGAGCAAGTCATGGTTAACTGTATCAAAAGCTTTACGTAAGTCAATGAAGATCCCCAGTGGGACTTCTTTTTTCTCTATTGCAGTGTATATATGTTCTAGCATGTGTATAATAGCATCATTAGTATTTTTATTTGGCCTGAATCCAAATTGGCAGGGGTTGAGTATGTTTTGGGAGATAAGGTAGGAGTAGATTCGTTTATGAATTAATTTTTCGAAGATTTTTGAGAGAGGGTGTAAGTTGGATATTGGCCTATAATAATTTGTCAGAGGATAATTCCTTCTAAAAATTACATGAGAATGGAGGTGTTGGTCTTTATTTATTCTACTGTACCAGTGTGGAGACAACTTGTACACAATGTAAGGTGTTTGTACGAATGTTTATGAACCACAACCAGATGCATTGTCTGTTTGTTTACATAGTGGGTGGGATGGCCAGGGCTGGCTTCCCTACACTACCCTACCTAGATAAGATAAGATTTTGTTTGGATTTTTAACCCTGGAGGGTTAGCCACCCTAGGATAACCCAAGAAAATCAGTGCGTCATTGAGGACTGTAACTTATTTCCATTGGGGTCCTCAATCTTGTCCCTCAGGATGCAACCCACACCAGTAGACTAACACCCAGGTACCTATTTGCTGCTAGGTGAACAGGACAACAGGTGTAAGGAAACGTGTCAAAATGTTTCCACCTGTCGGGAATCGAACCCGGGCCCTCCATGTGTGAAGCGGGAGCTTTAGCCACCAGGCCACCACCAAGCCTACCACACTACTTTCTACAAATAAATACTTTTCACCTTTCACCCTACACTAAGACCAGAAATATTTTTAAGTAAAGAGTGTACTGTATATGCATTTTATCACTCTATTTAAGCATCGTCGTAGTATATTATGTGTGGGTGGGGGTGGCCAGAAGGGTTACCACACCGAACTTCTTATAGTAAATGCCACTCACCTTTTGCCCTACATTAAGACTATAAATATTTTGAGGTAAATAATGAGTGTACTGTGTGTGAATTTTACTTTTTATAGTTTTTTAATGCCTAAGTTCTATTGCTAACTTAATTTATGTTAGTGTAAACTTGTCATCTTGCATTTATATACATTTATAAGTGAAAAAAAGGGCGTTTTGCTTTACAAAAGTAGCCTGGAACCTAACCTGCCGTATAAGTGGGGTCCTACTGTAACTCATTTTACATTATTCCTAGTATTCCTCCTTTATAGTATAATAATAAGATATTATCTCCTTTCTAGTATAATAATTTA